TCACATGTGCGCCATAATTGTAGACCAGAGCCTCCAGAGAAATTTGGACCTCTCAACTCTCTGGAGGCTACTGGAGGTTTCTGGAGCTTTGGCGTGAGCTTTCTGGAGCTTTCTGGAGGCGCTGGAACGCTCTCTGGAGGATTCTAGAGCTTTCTGGAGCTTTCTGGAGGTTTCTGGAGGCGCTGGAACAGGCCCAAGATTTTCAGGGCAGACAAAATACTCAGAATGCTGAGACTCAGGGCAGCACAATTCCTGCCCCTAATAATGCAAATGATTTAACGCTATAATGATGTGGAAGGTGGTGAGGAGCTGAGCAAAGTATTTCTGTCCCAATTTTTCAACTTCTGCCCCAACATTCCTAAAACCTGCCCCAGTTTTTGCCCTGATCCATGATGACTGCTCCGATGAGATCTCGTCAAATCCTGCCATGTTTTGCAGACTGGCTACTCATGATAGAACAACCATTTTAGACTGAGGTGAGCAATAACAACGGGTATAGTTTAGTGTCAGAGGTACCTTATAGTTTTCAAAACAAGTTGATGGGCATAAAGAGCTGAGGCGAGCATTGTACCAAATATGGACATGCTGCATTTTTATATTTGGAAACGGAAGGTGCACGCTCACCTCCTTGACGAGCTACGCAAGTTCTTGCAAAACTATGCACAACACTGTTTCTAAAAATGAAAAGCTAACATTTGAATCTACGACAGATAGGTAGGTACAGGGGCCACTCCACGGTGTGACGACTGGAGGGGACATTGACCATTTTGGAGGGGACGAGGACCATTTCAAGTCTTCCATGCAACGCCATAGGCGTAATGTTAAAGTTTTAAAAAGTGGAGGGGATGAGATCCCCTCCGTCACACCCCTGTGGCGACGCCCTTGGGTAGGTACCATGGTTGGTGGGTCAAAATCCATGGTTAGATTTTTCCATGCCAGCCTGTGATATAAAATTTTAGGTTGTGATTGCAGATGGAGCGAAACTGGGATGAATGACGGAACACTTCCATAAATGTTTCCTTTCAAATATGATAGCCCAAACCTGGGCCCGATCTTACCAATGCCGTGAATGCCTTATTCACGGCATTTGGTAACACTTGGAAGACATACTGAGCGTCGTGCGATTAATTTACATCATCACACACCTTCTGGACATTGAGAAAAACGGATAGATCCAATCAGAAACTATGAAAGACAAACATAGTGCTCTTAATCGGTAATCGCATTTTGCGCATTGCTACCAAATCCTATTTACGGCATTGGTAAGATTGGGCCCTGGTTTGGGCTGATACTTAACTGACTTGGGCTTCACAAATATTTTTAACTTTGACAAAATTCACTCCACATTTTAACCCTCTTTATTTTCTGATGCCAATAGATGGCAATCAGCCATCCAGTTACATTACACATTTTGCTTGGAAATAAATCACCTGGAAGTTCAGAGTTTCCACTTATGACAATGCACGATGCAAGTCTCCATTTATGGATCAAAAACTTTTCATATTTAGAAATGTTTCCAAGAATAGAAGCATTTCCATAGATGGAACGAGACTACCTACCACAATGTGCCTCAGCCTGACTGACCTGCAACCAATCTCAATCTAACATAAAAAATTGTTAGAACCACGCACAGCTTATTTAGGGGAAAAGTAATCACATGTGATCATGCTCCATGACCCACACTTAAAATACAAAGCAATCCACTTCATAAATGGATAAATGCTGAAATTCACGTGAAAATATGAAATCAAGGTCGGAGTTATATGGCCTTGCCATTACAGCGTTACCGCTGGTATTTTGCTGGTTTCCCCAGATTTCCACACAAATTTCCCTATTTCGGGCACTCATTTCCCTAGATGCTCATTTGCATATAAAATTTAGTCCAAATGTCCCTGATTTAGAAGGCCTTGCTTGATTTGACCCCAGAGCGAACATCCCGAAGGATTTTACTACAAGAAAATCCTGAGCAGCCCTCATCTTGGGTAGTAATTCACCCGCTGGCCGATTCTTCGGGATATGCTTGCTCCATGGGGTAAAATCAAGCAAGCTGCCGCAGGGCCGGCGCCACAGATTTCGGACTGCGGGGGCAGCTTGTCCCGATAAAGGGCCCATGCGGAAAGGCCCAAGGTAACTTATACACAAAATCTGAAAACTCTTCGGATTTGGCTCAATATTTTTTCGAGAGGGGCCCAAATTATGCAAAAATGCATGTTCCTGCAATTTTTTAAAGGGCCCGGCTGGCAACTGGTGGATGGGCGGCTTCCCCCTGCCCCCCCCCCCTGTGGCGCCGGCCCTTGCTCTGCTAAATCAGGGACATTGACATTTGGACTTGTGCACTAGGGAAATGAGTGCCAGAAATAGGGAAATTTGTGTGGGAATCTGGGGAAACAAAAAAAAAACAGGGGTAACGCTGGCCACGCGGATTCAGTGTTTACCTTGGCGCTGTTCGGCGGCCGGCTAGCGCGCTAGCCCGCGCACACATACGTGCACGTTGCCCCGGCAACGGGCTATTGACCAATGAGAAGCGCGCTACAGGGGGGCACAGGTATATGAAAAATCGCAGTGTCGTTGCACTTTCCTCGCTTCTCATTGGTCAATAGCCTGTTGCTGGGGCAACCAGCACGTATGTGAGCGTCGGCAAGAGTACTAGCCGGCCGCCGATTAGGGCTCGCGGCTCTGATCGGCGGCCGGTTAGTACCAAGATACCTATAATAAACAGGTAGATCCGATGTTTTGAGTAAAGCCCTGGTGACGTCACGGATATTTCTTATATGGAGAATTTCACCCGTAAGGAAAATATTTTACATACAAAAATTTGTATGCTATTAGGAAAAAATACAATCTTTCAATTCCACCATGAAAATTATATAATTTAATTAATAAACTCGAAATCCTTTGAGTGTTTGTCCCAACCCCCTGTTATACCTTTGGTCACGTGACTACCATGATACACTTTGCATTTTACAAGGTTATGACTTAAACGGAAGTAATAAATGCTGCAAATGTATTATTTATGATGTTTTAGGCAGCAATCGTGTGAATATATCCTGAAATTATGAATAATCTGCTGAAAAGAAGTCACGTGATGTTACCAGATTGTGCTCGGACAGCATCTTCTTGAATTTCGATTTTAAGTACTTTGTACCTTCATTGAGGCCTAATAACGGACGTTTTTAGTTATAAAATGAAGCACTGAATCTAATGAGGGCAAAATTTAATCATTTTTGCACTTTTAGGCCGGGCTATCCTGGCATGAACTGCGGCAAGTTTGTGTGTAAAGCCTATGGTGAAGGGAAAACTTCACGCCCGGCTGACGTCACAGACCTCGGCTACCAAATCGTGTCCGGTGGGGGCTGGTTAGTACTCTTGCCGGCGCTCACATACGTGCTGGTTGCCCCGGCAACGGGCTATTGACCAATGAGACGCGAGGAAAGTGCAACGTCACTGCGATTTTTCATATACCTGTGCCCCCCGTAGCGCGCTTCTCATTGGTTAATAGCCCGTTGCCGGGGCAACGTGCACGTATGTGTGCGCGGGCTAGCGCGCTAGCCGGCCAACAGCGCTAAGTGGCTGATTCCGAAGGTCTATGAAGCTAGGCAGTGTGTGCATAATTTGAAGATATTGATTAATAATAGTCAATTTTATGGTTTCAAAGCTTACTTAGAGGCTATAGCTAGAGTGTATATGCTAGTAATGCTGGGCGTCCTTAGAGCCTACCTAGTGTTTTGCAAGGAAGTCTAGTGTGCGCCACATTTGCCAAGCAATTGACACGTGAGAAGTTATAATTTATGTGTGTGGTTTCAGTCGGGCACACTGTGATAATTCCGTTCCATATTTTTTTTTAATAAATTTAGTCCAAATGTTTGATTGGGTGGCTTGAGGGATCCGAGTCCACACTAAGCATAGCTTGTTGTGCCTGTCTCTGAACAGTGAACCCACCACCCGATCACGCAATTCCAGTGCTATGGCAGAATTTCGTCTGAAAGTTTAACGTGCCCGGTAGACTGGACACGGTCCCCTCCGCCCACTCATGCTCTCTGGTCTTCGTGCGGCCCCTGCCACATACATGCACGCCATTACACGTAGGGGCCAAATGTTACCGCTCACACCTGCACTGGGGCTTGAACCGGGCTCTCACCACCAGTTCCAGCGTTGAACTCTGGCGCTTTAGACCACTCAGCCAGGAATGGGACTGGCCTTCTGGTTTTATAGAAACGTTCCTTTATTTGAAACATTCCTAAATATAGAAACACTAGGTAGGTACTGTTCCAAAACTGGAAATGCTCAGAAACGCCAATCTTTCTGGGTGATTTATTTCAAAGCAAGATGTGTTATAACTGTCTAGATGGTGGACTGCCATCTATTTATATTGGCATCAAGGAAGCACTGCAGATGGAAATGCGGTGTCAATTTTTCCAAAACTTAAAATAACAGGCGAGCACGCACCTTCCGTTTCCACATACAGAAACCCTATTCCATATTTGGAACAATGATCACCTCAGCGTTTCTATCTATGGAACATTGTTTCTATATACTGAAACGTTTCTACATATAGTATATGGCACGGAATAACCACAGTGTGCTCAACTGGTTTGGTATCTGGAGCAAGGCCTCTGGAGCTTGTAATTTTTGTTTCATATTAACTATGATGTTGGTTGCTTCTAACTTAGTATTTTTGTGGAATTTCTCTCCACCCAGAATATCAGTTTGGTTGTTGGTACCCCTGATATTCTAGTTGGAAATCAGCATTGGTTCAATTTTGGTTTTACCTAAGATTTTCATCCCACCAACTTGTTTGAGAAACTCCACCCATGGGTGACACCGAAGCCTGTCAGTTGGGCAAACTGCAGGGAAGCAGTCCAAACATGGATTGATCAAAATTAAGATATGACATCACAAAAATGGGTGGAGCAATGCCCATATAAGGAGATGTAATTTATATTAATATTACAATTCTGACTTGCTCCCTTTCAAACCCCTCGTCACCAGTCAAAGTCCCCATGATGGTGAGATATTCACTGTGGTTAAAAGGAGTGAACAGCTCTATCTAAATGATGCATCTGATGATGATGTGTTGTGGCTTTTGCATGCTATTTCTGAAGATAGGAGAGGACATCTCTGAAAATTGGATTTCAACTGTCAAAATAATCTAAATTAAAATTCAGCATAATCTATTTTAATATTAGCCACCTGACAACGTCATCTAAAGCAGGTTACCCACTTGTTTCTGTCCTGGAATCAGGTGCAGATAATCTAAATTTTGATTATTTAATTTATCTTGTAGGTGGAATTAAAATATCTTCAAAGGTTCTTTTTTGCTTATGAGATGTAGCCTGAATTATTTTCTCTAGTATCTGAAGCTGTGGTAAGCTTGTCGTTTTCCAGAGCCGTGATTTAACCATTCCAGTGAGGGTCTCTCGTCCCCGCGTGAGGACCCTTTCATCAGTCGTCATTCTGGACAGCAACCACAACTCCCTGGTCAGGTACGTTAACAGCTATTTATATTGTTACGATTTCTTATTTGAACAGATAACGTGTTATAAACATTAATAATTGGATCAGAGATAAGCGTTTGATAAGGCTTTGATCAACTTTGAAGTCTAAGATTTTGAAGCCTTTGAGGGTGTCTGTGAATACGTGCTATGCTCAAACTTGAATGCCTTTTACCGCGGCTGGAGAGGCATTCCAGTTATTGAACAGTGGTACTTTAAACGTATGCTACTGATGTGTATTGGCACACACAACGAAAAGTAAAGATAAAATAATAAGCAAGTTCACCCAGCTCGGGCTCCAATCCACTCTCGGCCCCGACCGGCCACAGACTCCCCGCCACCGCGGCGGCGGCTCCCTGTCCACCGCTCGTCCACCGCCGCGGGCACCGCGCAGGTCACGTGACCGGCGCACAGTGCGTGACCGGCGCACTGCGCGCCAGCGCGACCAGCGCCAGCACGATACACCACAGCTACCAAAACTGTTTGCAGTTACTCCGTTTTGAAACTCAATCTGACAGAGGTTTTAACAGTTTGCAGGACAATTCAGTGGAAGTGAAGTCGTCCACCGGCACAGAGGCAACAGTTGGCGTAGCGCAAGTGGAACACGAGACAGCGTCTACAGAGTCCACGGTTGTCGGATCAAAAGAGAACGCCGGCTCAGTACTTCAGACAGCAGAGCAGAGCCAGAGCCAGACAGCAGAGCCATCGACCACACAGGGCGTGACACTGGACAGTGCCGTCATCGCCAAACCCACTTCGCCTGCATTGTCTAGGTGAGCATGTTTATTTGTTATTTGTAAAATCAACTGCTGGCATAATGGTGATCTTTAAAGAATTGCATATGCATTCGCCGTAATCAGGAGTACCAGGATAGCCCCGAGCAGCATTATTTTTTAAGTTATTATTTTGAAATACCTTACTGTGTAAGGTTATCGATGCTTTGAAACTCCCATAATATGTCTACCTGTGCGTGCGGCCATCCCAGTTGTGTGACGCCTCACGTCACCGGTCCCTCCCCACTTTGTGTGACGTCACCGCCCGGCTGACCGCCAAGGCGTCAGCTACCGACGGCCGCTCGCCGTCCACTGTGTCACAGACGCCGCGACACGATTTTTCGCGTTCGATGCCTTTATTACACTGACCTGGGCCCGATCTTACCAAGTGGCGTGAATAGGATTTGGCAGCACTGGCCGAGCTTTACTTGCAGTTAATCGGTAGCAAATATTAACTGTTTTGCACGCATTTTTGGTCACCCAATGTAGGTGATGCCAGGAATCCACTGAACGTCATGAATACTTGTTTGACAGCTTGTTACTCCCTACGTCCCCTAGCGTATGCTGGCGATTTCGGACGCAATTTGACGCAATTTCATATTTCTATTTCACACCGTTCTGCTTGTATTTCACAGAAAGGACACTGTGCCGGTGGGTCCCTTCGACGACAGCCAGTTGCGACCGGCGCTGCGGGCGAAACTGCGAAGCAACGAGAAGCAGCCACTTACTCGGACCGAGTGGAGTGAGTTGACAGGAGTGATCGTCAACCACGAAAAGCTCACAAACGGGTAAGCATAATGCTGCCGCTCGCTTGAGTGTTAGCCAGAGTTTCGGTATTGACTCATTTAGGTCGGAATGAGTCGAGATTTCAGTTAGATTTACTTGTTTTGCCACATTCGTCCGTGCAGGGGGGGGGGGGGCGACAGAAATGGTCATCATTCCCTGGCGACCATTTCCAACGATGAATAAGATCAAACTATTGAACCGACTATGTTTAACCCTCGCCGTACCAGGGGGGGGGGGGTCGGTGCCACCCCCAGACGGTTTTTTCCAGGATTGCTGGAGAACGCGTAGGGATAGAAAGCTGAAATTTGGGAAGTGTAACCCTTCATCCAAGCCGGACCTTTCAGTGCCAGAATCAATTTCAGGTCAGGTCAAGTCACTGACCTGTGACGTCATTCTCTGACCTCTGCACGGCTAAATTCAAATCGCTGTCAACTCGAGAAGGACTTTCGGAAGGAAATGAAACTTTCAGTGTGTGATTGCCCTAGGCGTATCTACATTTAGTATATTTCGGATTTTCACTTCCGGTCACCAGAGGTCAGGTCAGTCACGTGACCTCCCCATTATAAGTCAATGGGGGAAAAAATGAAACCGCGAATTTTCTATCGAAAAGGGATTCAATCCTCTTGAAATTAAGTGCTGACGTGTTATTCAGGGTTTTCAACCTGCTCACACATTGTAGTGGCCTGGGAAAAGTTAGTGACGTCATTATGACGTCATAGAGGTCAAATTTCGTTTTTCGTCAATAACTCCTAACCTAAACGTCCTAGCGAGTCGAGACAGGTACCATTGTGTTCAGAGTGATCAGCCGGATCAGAGGATATGCAACATGGCCTGCCTGGGTCAATGACCTGACCTGACCTGACCTCTTAAGGTCACAACTTAAGGTGAACTTAAAAGTTAAGCATTTCTTAACACAAAGTACACCATTCGATGCGTCTCTTCAAGGCAGACACGATGGCGTTTGAATTTTGGCTCTACGACAATTTTTCGAGAAGTTATTGACGAAAAACTGAGACCATGTCTGGACCATGTCTGGAGGTCATTGACCGACCTCAGAGGTCACCGGTTGACCTTTGACCTTGTTTATGGGTACCAGTCGCTGCGTCTCGTGACGAGCAACACGCTCGTTTTTTCCGCGACGCTCTAGCTCCACCAGGAGCGAAATTGCGAGGGGGGGTCGTACCCCCCCCCCCTGGTGTGGGGAAGGTGTAAGAAAGCACTTGGTACGGCGAGGGTTAAATCACCGCAGTCGCACTCTATTCGAATTATCCCACTCTATCATATTAATGAATACTTTTCTCATAAACCAATCCCTAAACACCTGGATGTCTCGTATCTTTTTCAAGTAGCGTCATACTCTTGCAGATCTCTCACCATGACCCATAACCGCTATATGGATCTAGCGGACCGGGCGCTCGAGCAGTGGCCAGCTCTGCTGCACGGCTTGACTTCAAGGCAGGCACTGGTAAGCGCACGAATGACATGAATTAGAAAAGCGCATGGATGTAGGATTTAATTTATGAAAAGCGCATGGATGTAGGATGTCATGGTGCCTCTGGGTGGTGGTCGGTGGATATGATTATATCGCAAATTTATTTAGGGACTCGATGATTTTACATGTTAAACGACATTAAAATGATAAAGTCGGCAAAAGATGGTTCTCTGGATGAAAGTGAAAATAATTTTGTTTATGTTATTTCGCTCGCCCGTCCCTCGCCGAACACGGCGGTTTACTGGTAATTTAGTGATTACATAGGATTCTCCCATTTTCTCTCCAGGAGCAAGTAAAAAACAAGATTCAATGGCGTGTGAGGAACTATAAACGACCGGACCCGGGTGTCATGGGATCATTCAAGCGGCCGGCCCAGGCGACAGCGGCGAAGAAGGCGAAGAAGTCCAGACGCTACGAAAACTTCGAGGGATATCAAGGTATGATTACGAGCGAGTGAGCGCAGCGAACGAGCGAGTTCTTTTGAGATTAATGGGAAAATCTGAGTATTCGCGACCCGGCCCGGCCCGACCCGACCCGACCCGGCCCCATCACGCTGTGCAGTGGGTGCATTTGCTCACGCGCCGGGGCTAAACGGCTGGGGGTAGGAGCCTGAAATTTGCACGGCGCCGAGGTGACGCTGCGAACCGGTGCACCGTGGTCGTTTCGAGTCGATGCGGGCCCGGGGAGGTGCGTGGCACGCGCTGGAAAAAAATGCATTTTCTCCCATTGCCTCAACATGGGAAAATGAAGGCAACGCGTCGTCAAAACGCCAAAATGAGGCCGGCAGGGGTCGCTTCCCGGGCCCGTAGCTCGGCGCCCCGACGGCCGATCGGCATGCGGCAAACGCTGCCCGATCGAGCTGGCGAATGGGGTGCGTGTCAGGGGTGTTGTGCAGCACGTGCGTTGCCAAGGGCTCTCCCGTTTAAAAAATACCCTGGACGCCCATGACACGGCAACCTGTGGTCCATGCTCACCTATGCCCAGTTCGCCAACTTACAGCCCATATGGGTCCCATTCGGGATGGCTCAATGGGTTATTTTTGGTCAAAATTAGCGAAAGATGACGTCACTGTACTCCCCTGGCGACCCGAAGCTAGGATCTTAAATTTTGTTTTAAAGATGTAAAATTGATGTCTGGTGGGGTATGCCAAATTACAAGTCGGTAGCTCTTCACATTTCGGAGTTATTCCAGGAAAACATGGGGGCGTTTCGCCCCCCCCCTCTCCCCAGCGGGCCGCGTGTTAAAGGCCGTTTCTTGCTTCAAAAATAAAACACTCAAAAGCTGCCATTTTTACAGACTACCTCCCGCCGGAACCAGAGGAGGACATGCAAGTTCACAGGAATCGGCTAAGGCAAGAGGGACTAACCGAGGAAGAGCGGGAAGCGCTGCGAGACTTGACATTCGCGGACCGCCGTCGACACGCCGTGGCTCTCTCGACGCCAATGAAGAAGTTCCTGCACATGTACCCCATGATGAAGAATCACCAAGAGGTAAGTTATAGGAGGCAAGAAGGAGTCTTGTAAGAAGGAGTCAAGGAGGCAGTCTTGTAGAGTAATATTTCGCCGGGGAACCTTCATCGGTACCTGACTCGATTGAATTTGCAATAATACCTGCAATAATACTATCCCGAAATTGTTCCGATGCTGAGATGAGGCAGGGGTTAAGTTTTAATCTTGGCTTTTGCATGATCTGTCTGTCTGTCTGTCTGTCTGTCTGTCTGTCTGTCTGTCTGTCTGTCTGTCTGTCTGTCTGTCTGTCTGTCTGTCTGTCTGTCTGTCTGTCTGTCTGTCTGTCTGTCTGTCTGTCTGTCTGTCTGTCTGTCTGTCTGTCTGTCTGTCTGTCTGTCTGTCTGTCTGTCTGTCTGTCTGTCTGTCTGTCTGTCTGTCTGTCTGTCTGTCTGTCTGTCTGTCTGTCTGTCTGTCTGTCTGTCTGTCTGTCTGTCTGTCTGTCTGTCTGTCTGTCTGTCTGTCTGTCTGTCTGTCTGTCTGTCTGTCTGTCTGTCTGTCTGTCTGTCTGTCTGTCTGTCTGTCTGTCTGTCTGTCTGTCTGTCTGTCTGTCTGTCTGTCTGTCTGTCTGTCTGTCTGTCTGTCTGTCTGTCTGTCTGTCTGTCTGTCTGTCTGTCTGTCTGTCTGTCTGTCTGTCTGTCTGTCTGTCTGTCTGTCTGTCTGTCTGTCTGTCTGTCTGTCTGTCTGTCTGTCTGTCTGTCTGTCTGTCTGTCTGTCTGTCTGTCTGTCTGTCTGTCTGTCTGTCTGTCTGTCTGTCTGTCTGTCTGTCTGTCTGTCTGTCTGTCTGTCTGTCTGTCTGTCTGTCTGTCTGTCTGTCTGTCTGTCTGTCTGTCTGTCTGTCTGTCTGTCTGTCTGTCTGTCTGTCTGTCTGTCTGTCTGTCTGTCTGTCTGTCTGTCTGTCTGTCTGTCTGTCTGTCTGTCTGTCTGTCTGTCTGTCTGTCTGTCTGTCTGTCTGTCTGTCTGTCTGTCTGTCTGTCTGTCTGTCTGTCTGTCTGTCTGTCTGTCTGTCTGTCTGTCTGTCTGTCTGTCTGTCTGTCTGTCTGTCTGTCTGTCTGTCTGTCTGTCTGTCTGTCTGTCTGTCTGTCTGTCTGTCTGTCTGTCTGTCTGTCTGTCTGTCTGTCTGTCTGTCTGTCTGTCTGTCTGTCTGTCTGTCTGTCTGTCTGTCTGTCTGTCTGTCTGTCTGTCTGTCTGTCTGTCTGTCTGTCTGTCTGTCTGTCTGTCTGTCTGTCTGTCTGTCTGTCTGTCTGTCTGTCTGTCTGTCTGTCTGTCTGTCTGTCTGTCTGTCTGTCTGTCTGTCTGTCTGTCTGTCTGTCTGTCTGTCTGTCTGTCTGTCTGTCTGTCTGTCTGTCTGTCTGTCTGTCTGTCTGTCTGTCTGTCTGTCTGTCTGTCTGTCTGTCTGTCTGTCTGTCTGTCTGTCTGTCTGTCTGTCTGTCTGTCTGTCTGTCTGTCTGTCTGTCTGTCTGTCTGTCTGTCTGTCTGTCTGTCTGTCTGTCTGTCTGTCTGTCTGTCTGTCTGTCTGTCTGTCTGTCTGTCTGTCTGTCTGTCTGTCTGTCTGTCTGTCTGTCTGTCTGTCTGTCTGTCTGTCTGTCTGTCTGTCTGTCTGTCTGTCTGTCTGTCTGTCTGTCTGTCTGTCTGTCTGTCTGTCTGTCTGTCTGTCTGTCTGTCTGTCTGTCTGTCTGTCTGTCTGTCTGTCTGTCTGTCTGTCTGTCTGTCTGTCTGTCTGTCTGTCTGTCTGTCTGTCTGTCTGTCTGTCTGTCTGTCTGTCTGTCTGTCTGTCTGTCTGTCTGTCTGTCTGTCTGTCTGTCTGTCTGTCTGTCTGTCTGTCTGTCTGTCTGTCTGTCTGTCTGTCTGTCTGTCTGTCTGTCTGTCTGTCTGTCTGTCTGTCTGTCTGTCTGTCTGTCTGTCTGTCTGTCTGTCTGTCTGTCTGTCTGTCTGTCTGTCTGTCTGTCTGTCTGTCTGTCTGTCTGTCTGTCTGTCTGTCTGTCTGTCTGTCTGTCTGTCTGTCTGTCTGTCTGTCTGTCTGTCTGTCTGTCTGTCTGTCTGTCTGTCTGTCTGTCTGTCTGTCTGTCTGTCTGTCTGTCTGTCTGTCTGTCTGTCTGTCTGTCTGTCTGTCTGTCTGTCTGTCTGTCTGTCTGTCTGTCTGTCTGTCTGTCTGTCTGTCTGTCTGTCTGTCTGTCTGTCTGTCTGTCTGTCTGTCTGTCTGTCTGTCT